CATGGCCGGAGTTGAACATCGTCTCCAGATGCTGGAGATGGAAAAAGAGGAAGGCCTTTACCTTTGTCTGTGTTGTATGTCATTGTTCACCATGTGTGTAAAAAGGCATTGAATGTTTATTTATTTCAATTATATACCGCTTTTCTCAACCCCCCTAGGGGGACTCAAAGCAGTTCACAACAAAGTAAATGGCAAAATTCAATGCCTCACAAAATGTAAAATGCACCACAGAACTAAAATCAAATATAACAATAGATTAAAAACAATAAACTATAAAACTTTGGCCACAGACAAACATAAAACATTGGACATTGGACCAATCCCAGAGTTATCTAGACTACTTCTCACTCCCTGACTGCTTGTTTGAAAAGCCACAATTTAAGTAGTTTCCTAAATATCAGGAGAGAGGTGGCTGATCTGATTTCACTGGGGAGGGAGTTCCATAGCCGAGAGGCCACCACTGAGAAGGCCATGTCTCTCGTCCCCACCAGTCACACCTGTAAAGGAGCGGGACCAAGTGTAGGACCTCCTCAGCCAATCTTAATGCTCTAACTGGCTCATATAGAGAGACACATTCAGATAGAGAAGCTGGACCAGAACCGTTGAGGGATTTATAGGCTAAAGCCAGCACTTAGTTTGCCTCATATGTGTATTGTATTCTGCTCTGAGTCCCTCCGGGGAGATAAAGCAGAATATAAATAAAGTGTATTATTATTATTATTATTATTATTATTATTATTATTATTATTCACTTCCTTCACAATGTGACTTCGGAAACTGTCCAAAACCAGCAGAGATCACTGTTTCCATAGCACATTTGGTCTGTTCCACAGTTTTAACCCAATCCACCATAAATTCTGTGCATCAGACCGTTTGCCTGCACCCATACATGAAACCCACAGGGAAACTGTACTCCCTTAGGCATTGTTTTCCTCTTGAAAATGATGTAAGGTGGTGAATTCCTTCCATCGGCTGCAATGACAAGCATTACAGTGCACCACAATCTTCCCTATGACCACTGGCTCTCATGGTGATACTGGATTATCAGAGTAATTTTTTGGGGTAATAGTGCTTTTGGGGGGACATATCAAAGAACATAGCGCTCAGGTCAGTATTACAAATTTGAGAACAGGGATATGGTGTGTCCTTCCACATACGCAAGACAAAGCAATGAAAGCTTTCCACCATCTCAGTGTAATAAGGTGGCAGCTTTTGGCACAGTGTGGTTCTCATTTGCACAGACAAGTTGTGTCATCACATGAACCTTATAACCCAGCATGACTTGCCTTAAACTGAGTTGAGGGAATGTTGTGTTTATGGATTCCTCACATAATATGCTACCTCCTATGCTTTGATTTGCAACATCTCATAGGATATAATGCAGCCATTGTCATGCATCTCACTCACATACGCAAATGCTTCCTCATCAATTTGTTGACCTCTAAATTCACATCGAGTAAGGGTGGTTTTCCTTAGATAGTCTTTAACTTTCCACCAATCACACTCCAACTTCTCATTCACAGAAAATGCCTTCCTGTAGCTCTGTTTCCATGCTCTGTTTACTCCTATTCATGGTCAGCTCAGTAGTTCCGACAAGAACATGGCATGGAGGAAGGCAACCTATGAAATGTAAACACTCTCCAGCATTCCCCACCCTGAAGAGCTTTGCCACTTGCTAGGCCCATTAAGCATACCTCACTCACCCATCCATCAGCGCAAAGATCCACCCACCCACCCATTCACTCACTCGCACATCCATCCATCCATCCAAAGATCCAGAGTGATTCCAACAGTGGGTTCAGAAGAGAGGGCACTTGGGTTAAATCCCCCACCATTATGAAACAGCTCAGCTGGACATGAATCCACAGATACAATATGTGCAAAGTTGGCTTTTTTTTGCAGTGCATATCGCCACCTTAGAGGAGTGAAGATTCCTCTTTATTGTATCTTGCCACTTCAGGAGGCGTTCCTGGAAGGCAGTAGATGGATGGGCATCCGAGTGAGTGAGTAAATGGGAAAGTGAGTGAAGTGGGCAATTGGGTCTTTGGATGGATGGGTAAGTGAATAGATAGGAGGATGAATAAGTGAATGGGTGGGTGGCTGAGTGGGTGGGCAAGTAGATGGGTGTTTACAGCAGGGAGGCTGCCTACTGGTAAATCAGGGATGTTTTTGGGTCCCAAAATAGGGATCCAAAAATGGAGTATGACTATTTTGTGATGGAGACTATTATGCGATGAAATACAGGTACAGTAGAGTCTTGCTTATCCGACATTCTGTCTTATCCAATGCTCTGATTTGACGCCCCCTTTTTCCTCCAGCATTTCCCCTTCAATTAAAGCAGTGCTCCCCAACTCTCTCTCCATTCCCAATAAGTGAAAAAGAAGGGAAGAAAGGGGGAGAAGAGGCAGGACCAGAAACGGAAGTGTTCTTGCTCCTTCCCTCTGTGATTTCCACACTCCTCTTCCACATCCAGGCACTTCCTGCTGGGCTGCCTTGCCATAACCCTTTGAGTCTCTGTTGTTAGTATTCTAGGTGCTAGCGCCATGTTGGACAGGTATCAGTAGGAGACTGTATTATCTGACATTTTCATTTATCCAACATTCTGCCGGCCCATTGATGTCAGATAAGCGAGACTCTACTGTAATTGGATTAATTGGGACTTCCCTGCAAAACTGGGATGCTTTGACAGGTATGTTATCTGCTGCTTCCACCTTTCAACCAGTTTGTCATTTCAATGAAATGACTTTAGTGGCCCTTTCTTGTTATAGAGGCAGTTGTATACTGAGATTTGTTAGGTTTTGAATTAGCTTTTTGAAACAGTTTAAAATTATTTGCTTCCATAATATGTCTGGTTTTAATTGGTGCCTGAATTTAATGACGTTTGCTTGTTTTTCCTCATTTATCATTTTCAGACACTTTAAAATACATATCATGTGGTTTTTATTGTTTTACATTTCACTTTCAAGAAGGTACACTGTACTTTTAAAAAAGTTGCCCCACAACTGAAGATAATAATCCTGAATACATTTATTTCTCATGAGTGCCTTTAGGATTAGGCCCTTATTTGGCCATTACAGATGAATGGTTTGGCTCCAGACTTAATCCTTCTCAGAATATACCCACCAAAATAAATGAGTCTTAAATTAGCAATGACTGAGTTGAATCACATCAGTTTTAATAGATTTGACCGAAATATAGAAATCCAGAGCACTACCATCTAAAATAGTGGTTCTCAACCTTCCTAATGCCGTGACCCCTTAATACACTTCCTGATGTTGTGGTGACCCCTAACCATAAAATTATTTTCGTTGCTACTTCATAACTATAATTTTGCTACTGTTATGAATTGTAAGGTAAATATCTGATATGCAGGATGGATTTTCATTCATTGGACCCAATACGCCCAAATTTGAATATTGGTGGGGTTGGGTGACGGGGATTAATTTTGTCATTTGGGGGTTGTTGTTGCTGGGATTTATAGTTCACCTAACAATCAAAGAGCATTCTGAACTCCAACAACGATGGAATTGTACCAAACTTGACACATAGAACTCCCATTACCAACAGAAAATACTGAAAGGATTTGGTGGGCATTGACCTTGAGTTTTGGAGTTGTAGTTCCCCTTCATCCAGAGAGCATTGAAGACTCAAACAATGATGGATCTGGATACTCAATATGCCCAGATCTGAACACTGGTGAAGTTTGGGGAAAAGAGACCTTGACATTTGGGAGTTGTAGTTGCTGGTATTTCTAGTTAAGCTATAATCAAAGAGCACTATGAACCCAGGCTACATTGGACCTGCACCAAACTTAGCACACTACTTACATGGCCAACATTTAATACTGATGGAGTTGTTTTTGAATTCTGAGAGTTGTAGTTAACCAACACCAAAAAGGAAGAGAAGGACAGGTGGAGAGATCTTCAGTTTTCTTTGCCAAAGGGGTTCCTAAGACCTTCAGAGGGAAAACGCATATTTGGTTACCCCTCTGAATCCCACCCCCAGGGTCTGACCCCCAGGTTTTTTGGTTTTTTTGTCATGTCAGGAGTGACTCCTGGTGTGAGAGAATTGGCCGTCTGCAAGGACGTTGCCCAGGGGACGCCCAGATGATTTGATGTTTTATCATCCTTGTGGGAGGCTTCTCTCATGTCCCCGCTTGAGGAGCTGGAGCTGATAGAGGGAGCTCATCCGCCTCTCCCTGGATTCGAACCTTCGACCTGTTGGTCTTCAGTCCTGCCAGCACAGGGGTTTAACCCACTGCGCCACTGGGCGGGGACCCCCCAGGTTGAAAAACATTGGCGTGGACAGGAATCCTATCCATAGCCTCAACTAAAGCAAAGCACTGATTCAGTGGTTGAATCAAGTGTCAACACAAAGGCAAATCCAATTGGTTGAATGGTTCTACTCTTGTTGGGATTGACACTAAGATATGGGCCATGTTTTTAAACATACGTTTTTGCCTGTCAAACTTGAGTTGTGCATTTCACTAAAGATGTGTCTACCACAACAAACATTAAAATACCTCATAGTTACTATAACCATTATGAGCTATACAATGTATAATTCATAGTTTAAAATTAGATAAATAAAATTAGATAAAGTATGAAAGTGCTAATTAGAAACAAGCACAATAAGCAAGTATGAGGGGAAAGGAACTTTTCATGAATTTTGTACAACCCCCTGTTCACATCTTTTTGCATTCTTGCCTTACAGGCACCATAAAAAATGCTTATGGGGAAGATATTTGTCATCTTTTCCCTTCTGCTGTTATTCCTATGGACCTTGCTAGAATGCCATAGTACTGAAGCTTGGTTTGATTGACCTAGGAGGGGCATCATAGTTGAGAAACCAGGAAGCGGTCACATCACCTATGCCAGTCTTTCCAGCTCCCAGTCCAGAAAATCCAGTCCAGTTTTCTGACCCCATCACTCCTCCTCCCCAACCCTTTGCCAGGGTAAATGTATATAAGGGCAGTCCTGAGATGGCTAGGATCCTTGCAGAACGGATTGTGGCTGACCGGAGAGGAGCTCACTGGTGAGTTGGGGCCCCGAGGTGGGTGATGTTGGGGCAAGGCTCTCGCAGGGGCTCTGTCCACATCTGTGTTGGTACTATGTAGCACTGTTGCTCCAAATACAGATGTCCTTCTAGGAAAAGCCAAAAGGGCAACACTCTACAACAGGGTGACCACTCAGTATGGGCTTCAGTGGGAGATTCCACTTCAACATTAGGAAGAACTTCCTAACTGTGAGAGCTGTTCAGCAGTGGAACTCTCTGCCCCGGAGCGTGGTGGAAGCTCTTTCTTTGGAGGCTTTTAAGCAGAGGCTGGATGACCATCTGTCAGGAGTGCTTTGAAAGTGATTTTCCTTCTTCTTGACAGGGGGTTGGACTGGATGGCCCACAAAGTCTCTTCCAATTCTCTGATCCTATGTGGGATAGATATTATTCTATCTAGGGATGTCAGATTGAAATTAAAGAAGGGCTCCTATACCTTTAATGGTTGTTTAGAAGCAGGAGTTGGTATTGATCTGATTGCATGACAGCCAACACTTGCTGAAATTCTCTTCACACAAGTGAAATATAGAGGAACCCTCTCCAGTTCTGAGTCTGCCAACCCTGAAAAAGTCTCCCAAGACCCAGTCCATTGCAGTTTGTGGAAACGGTGCTGCTCTTGGTTCTGGTGGAGGATGTTCTCCAGGCACTGCAGTTGAAATAAAATAGAACTACAAATATAAATAGTTTCTATGGGTAGAAAGTGGTTTTTCATTTTGTCCTCTGATCTGGGTGGAAAAACAATTTGGACTCGCCTTATAGGGCTTTAAAGACTTGCAGGTTTATTATGGCCTAAGCTTTGGAGGACACTAGAAGCACTGCATTAAATGGATACCAATCTTGAAAAAGCCAGATTGGCTTTCAGGTATGCAATCTAAAGGTAATTTTTTGGGAAGTAGCTCTTCATGTTCAACACATTAATTTGATTGCTATTCAATTTAGTTCTACCCTCTTTCTCTCTGATTTTATTTCTGTTACACCTGGTTTTGCAAGCAAAGTGTTCTTACTTACTTACTTAGGCGATCCCTCATTGTCCGAGTATGATGGCCTTCCAAGTGTAGTGTTTAGGCAGTGGATACGTAGGTGACTGTAGAGCCCTATTCTTGACCCGCATGTTGTTCCACAGTGAGGACATTGGTTTCCACATAGAAAGCGGTCCTGGACAGGGTTGGCTTGACGTGCTTTCCTCTTGGTAGGTTTCTCCCTTTTGCCCTCCATTCGTGTCTCTTTGAATTCTACAGCACTGCTGGTCACAGCTGACCTCCAGCTCAAGTGCTCAAGGGTCAGGGCTTCCCAGTTCCCAAGCAAAGACCAATCAAAAAGTGTCAATATCTTAACATGAGAAGGAAGAAGAAACAAGGGTTTGCTTCCAGATAGAGGGCAACCTCATTCATTTTCCCCCTGCAGCCTAGACAAGCCAGTCTTCCATTTTCTGAATGGCTTTTCCCCTCCAAACCAGGTTTTTTTTTTGTTTGTTTTTTGGTGTCAGGAGCGACTTGAAAGTCGCTTCTGGTGTGAGAGAACTGGCCATCTGCAAGGACTCTGCCCAGGGGACGCCCTGATGTTTTGATGTTTTACCATCCTTATGGGAGGCTTCTCTTATGTCCCCACATGGGGAGCTGGAGCTAACAGGGGGAGCTCATCTATGCTCTCTCTGGATTCGAAACTCTGACCTGTTGGTCTTCAGTCCTGCCGGCACAAGGGTTTAACCCATTGCACTACCGGGGGCTCCTCCAATCCGGTAAGCAGCAGCAATAATCACCTCCCATTCACCAGGCTTGATAGCCCCTTATACTCCAGCCAACAATAAGCATAAGCCATATTTGCACCTATGTGTATCATATAAAGCAGTGGTTCCCAACCTGTGGTTCGTGGACCACCAGAACAAAAATATGATCTGCGGCCTCACCATTACTACATCGGCAGCGAGAGCAACTTTGAAACCACATGGCAGCGAGAACAACTGGTCTCGCACAACCCTCTTATAGTGCCAAAGCAAAGGGGGATGACAGGAGGGGAGAGGATGACCACCCACGAAAGATTATTACTACCACATCAGCTCTAGATGATTAAATATGGTTTTCTGTGGACGAGCAGATGGCGATTACTGGATGGCATATGTTCTGTATCAGAAACTAGAGCTGATGGGGTCTATCCAATGCAGTTTTGGGTATCGGCACCCCAAATAACCAAACTGGATCTAAAGTTGACCAAAAAAAATTATTCGTAACAATTTTGGTACTAATGTTGAAGAGTGGTCCCTGGTCAAAGTGATCACTGGTAGAAAAAGGTTTGGAACCACTGACATAAAGGGTGTTCTGGTAGCTACCAATGTTCAAAATAGGCACTGTAGCTGTGCCTTCAAAAGTAGCTGGATGCACTGTTATATTCCTGTCTGCCTGCTGGTTTTCTTCAGATACAATCTGTACTGTTAGAGGCACAAGATCAACTCAGACTGGCTTTTCTGGTTAGGTGGCAATTCCGCTATTCCCCAATGCATTATCTTTTTAAAAAAATATATGTTGAAATTTCCAAGAATGTTGCTTATAACAGAGGCGATATTTTACTCATGTCCTGCCTGTGGACTTTCTGCGGGCAAACAGTTGTTTGTTGTGTGAATTGAAGGCTGGATTGCATAGCCTTTGCTCTGACCCAGCTTTCCTCTTGTTATGCCGTTCTCACATTCAGTGCACTGAAGAATGCTCAACAAGAATTGGGTAGGGGGGTTTAAAATTTTGTTCATTACATTGGCCCGGCCTTAGGTTTTAAATGCGTCATGGTGTCATTGTTTTTAGTGTTTTATTTTTTGCTTGATGTTTATTGTTTGCTTTGTGAGTTTTATTGCTGTATTGTTATGTTGTTGTTTTGTTGGCGGCCTTGGCCTTTGTAAGCCACATCGAGTCCTTCGGGAGATGTTAGCGGGGTATAAATAAAGTTAATAATAATAATAAAATAATAATAATTAAGAGGTCACAGCATTAGCAAGGTTGCGAACCACTGGTTTAGCATCTCACACTGGACTTTCCACAGATAGATAAATCCAATTTTCCTAGTTTCCAACAGACCTCACAACCTCTGAGCATGCCTGCCATAGATGCAGGGAAAACATAAGCAAATAATACCTCTAGAACATGGTCATACAGTCCGAAAAACCAACAACAACCTAGAAAAAAGAGTAACCCTTTCCCTCCCAACCAGGCCCGTAGCCAGGATTTCGTTTCAGGGGGGGGGGGCTGAATTTTTTTCAGGGGGGGGTTCGGGGGGGGCTGAGTTTCGGGGGGCTGAGTCTGAGTGAAAGAGGGTCTAGCCTAGCAAACCTTTTGTATCATTACCCCAATACCCCCATGCATATGAGATATATTGAGTATGGTGATCAGATCATGATATGAATAAACATAACAGTTTAAATAATGCACCAGTAAGGCCTTTTCACGAACCACCATGAGAATTTCGGGGGGGGGGGCTGAAGCCCCCCGAGCCCCCCCCCTCCCGGCTACATGCCTACTCCCAACCTTTCCTAGTTTCCAGCCCCCTTTCATACCTCAGTCATTCTCCCTTCCCCAGTTGCCCCCTTCCCACCTCAATCTGTCCAACTTTTCCAGCCGCCCCTTTTCCACCTACATTTCCACTTTTACAGCCACCCTTTCCCATTCCAATGTTTTCACATTTCCAGTCCTTCTTTCTCACACCCTTCCCAAATGTTTAAAAGCAATGCTTTTAAAATGTTTTTAAATGTTTGGAAAGATTAGCCGTTTACAAGAAGCGTTGCCCGGGGGACGCCCAACTATATTTACTCAGTCTTTGAGGAGGCTCTTTCCGTGTCCCCCAATTGTTGGGAAGTTGCTGCTAAATGTGAGGGAAATAAGGCTGAACACTGTGAACGCCATCCACTACATGGCTAACAGCCTCCTCCCAGTAGACTCAAATCAAGGAAAAGCTTTATGAGAACTACCACTCCTCTTGGCGTCCCCCTCTCCCCCAGCAACAGCAAGGGTATCCCTCTGGGCAGCTAAACCAGGAAACCCCAACTGGATGCCCCCCCCCCCCCATGAGGGTCTTCCTCCAGGGGCAAACCAAGAATGGGCAACTTGGAAGACCCTGAACAGACTCAGAAGTGGAGTGGGCAGATCAAAAGACAACCTGGCTAAAAGAATCCCATACCTTGTGTGACTGTGGAGCAGAACAGACAACTACGCATTTGTACACTTGTCCACTATGCCCTGCCTCATATACAGAGGAAGAATTGTTGGAGGCTATGGTGAATGTTGAAAAGATACGTTAGCACATATACATTGATGAAGGTTAGAATAATGATTTAATCTGAGTTGGACAGTCTTCTCTTAAATTACAGTTTTATATAAATATTCAAAAACATTTAACCTACTGATGTCTCAATTAAGGTAATTTTATTGGTATCTATTTTTATTTTCGAAATTTACCAGTAGCTGCTGCATTTCCCACCCTCGGCTTATGCTCGAGTCAATACGTTTTCCCAGTTTTTTGTGGTAAAATTAGGTGCCTCGGCTTATATTTGAGTCGGCTTATACTCGAGTATATACGTAATCTTCATTGCCTCAGTCAGAAAGGCAGATCCCGCTAAGATGGGGCACAGCTTGTTCGTGGCTTGAATTTTCAATATTTTACTATTTTAAAGAATTGTTCTTATTTACATTGTCATGTGCACCACCTGGGTGACATTTGTGAAAAGGTAGCATACCGATGAGAATAATAAATTATAGTAACAATCTGTCATTCGGAAATGACGTTATGTTTGTTAGATTCGTACCCTACTCTCTACCACCAAATGATGCTCAGGGTAGCTAATACCAGTAAAAGGCAGATCAGAATGCCAAATAACAACCCCAAACCATAAAAACAAGGCAAGTGGAACATACCTACAAATTCTTATATAAATGACAACCTGCTAAACAAATGGCAAGATATTTTTAGTGGCTGTGACAAGCTGTCTATTTGAGTCAATAGCTTCCTATTCAGGACTACTTCCTTGCCTTCATGGACAGTCAGGCTTACATTAGATCAGTGTTTCTCAATGCCATGACCCCTTAAATGCAGTTCTCATGTCGTGGTGACCCCCAACTATAAAATTATTTTCGTTGCTACTTCATAACTGTAATTTTGCTACTATTGTGAATCGTAATGTAAGTATCTGATATGCAGGATGTATTTTCATTCAGTGGACCAAATTTGGCACAAATACCCAATACGCCCAAATTTGAATACTGGTGGGCTTGGTGGGGGGTTGATTTTGTCATTTGGGAGTTGTAGTTGCTGGGATTTATAGTTCATCTACAATCAAAGAGCATTATGAATTCCACCAATCATGGAATTGAACCAAACTTGGCACATTGAACCAAACTTCCATGACCAACAGAAAATACTGGAAGGGTCTGGTGGGCATTGACCTTGCGTTTGGGAGTCGTAGTTCACCTACATCCAGAGAGCACTGTGGACTTAAACAGTGATGGATCTGGACCAAACTAGACACAAATACTCAATATGCCCAAATGTGAACACTGGTAGAGTTTGGGGAAAATAGACTTTGACACTTGGCAGTTGTGGTTGCTGGGATTTATAGTTCACTTACATTCAAAGAATATTCTGAATCCCAAGCTTCCCACACAGAACTCTCATGATCAACAGAAAATACTAGTGGTCTTTGGCGATCCCTCTGACACCTCCTCGTGACCCTCCCAGGGGTCCTGATCCCCAGGTTGAGAAATTCTGCACTAGATACTACTGGTCTGCTTTGTACCTTGAAATTTAAAAAGACCTCATATTGTGCCAAAGATAAGACATAGGAATGTGTAGTTTGCAGAATGAGTTGAGTTTTAGGGCATTCACTCTCCTCCCCTTTCAAATGTCACCCTGAATGGTGCAATAGGGACACCCAGGAATCTTAGCAATGCTGCCACAAGTTAAACCTGTTCTTCCTGGAACAAGCTGGGCAAGAATATCTGCTTGGGGACACGTTTGAGAAACACAGGGATAGCCAAAGAGCAATCCAACCACTTCTCTCTTCAACAGTACTTGAACAGTTAGTTTGGATGGTCCATTGAGCCTTAGAATATACCTGTTTATAAAAGTCTTTTCTAAGATGCCATCCTTGGGTCAAAGCCTAGAAAAGTTACATTTTGGAGAACAGCATCCAGAATCTTCCTGGCTATGCTGGCTAATGAATTTGGAAAGCTATCATCCAAAATGCAAATTGTTCAAATTTTGGATCAATTACTAGTTAAAAATGTGTCGACATGTGACATGTTGCTTCTAAGCCAAGCCTTAAATTAGCATTTCTCAACCTGGGGGTCGGGACCCTGGGGGGGGGGATTCATGAGGGGGTGTCAGAGGGGTCGGCAAAGACCATCAGAAAACACAGTATTTTCTGTTGGTCATGGAAGTTCTGTGTAAGAAGTTTGGCTCGTATTTATTGTTGTGAGGTTCAGAATGCTCTTTGATTATAGGTGAACGATAAATCCCAGCAACTACAACTCCCAAATGTCAAGGCCTCTTTAACCCAAACTCCACCAGTATTCACATTTGGGCATATTGAGTATTCGTGCCAAGTTTGGTCCAGATCTATCATTGTTTGAGTCCACAGTGCTCTCTGGTTGTACAACTCCAAAACTCAAGGTCAACGCTCACCAAACCCTTCCAGTATTTTCTGTTGGTCATGGGAGATCTGTGTGCCAAAATTGGTTCAATTCCATCATTGGTGGTCTTCAGAATGCTCTTTGATTGTAGGTGAACTATAAATCCCAGCAACTATAACTCCCAAATGAAAAAACCAATACCCGTCCGTCCCCCCCCCCCTCCCAATCCCACCAGTATTCAAACTTGGGCGTATCGGGTATTTTGTGCCAAATTTGGTCCAGTGAATGAAAATCCATCCTGCATATCAGATATTTACATTACAATTCATAACAGTAGCAAAATGACTGTTATGAAGTAGCAATGAAAATAATTGTATGGTTGGGGGGGGGGGGGTCACCACAACATAAGGAATTGTATTAAGGGGTTGTGGCATTAGGAAGGCTGAGAAACACTGCTTTACATCATTCATAATGGTAAAACAGTTGTATATTAGAAAACCAGGATCTACAATAGGAGCATAACATTAAACAGGTTGTAAAACAAACTATTCTGTCCTAAAAGCTTGAAGAAATAAAGGTCTTTCCAGGCACTCTGTGTGGAGCTTGTTTCATAAATAGCAGAGACAACACTGTAAAGGCTGTGCTGCTAAGAGCTGCATGATCTAAATAGGCAAAAGTGATCTCTGGCTTAAGACTCAAATGATTGTTCATTCCTTTTCAAGTTGTGGGAGATGGATATTAGAGCAGAGGATTTGAAGTTGCTGCTTGCACAGATGTCTTCTACTCCAAATTAGATGGGAAGGCAGGGGAGACCCATAATCTTTGGACCTGATAGAATGAATCCTGATTTTGTTCAATTTATTCTCTTTTTTTTCCTCCTCTCCTGCAGAATCCTAGCAGCCCATAAAAGGAATCTTTCCTGGAAACATGGCGGCAAAGGGCTCGACTTTTGTTGTGACAATATTAGTGTTGGGCAATGTTATTATCATGGTAAGAATGCTAAATTTACAGTATTTGTATAATAACCTGTCCCAACCTGTTCACCTCTTGGTATGTTAGACTACAACATCCAGCATCCCACAGGGCCTGTAGCATTATGGGAGCTATCACCTAACCCATCTTGAAGACACTTGAAGACACAATGCTGGCTCTACAGCTTTGAAATGGAAATGAGCACCACCCCCCAGAGTTGGACACAACTAGACTTAATGTCAAGGGAAAACCTTTACCTTTACCTACCAGCTCTCCAGGGCGCCCTGGTGGCATAGTGTGTCAAATTGCTGAGCTGCTGAACTTGCTGACCAAAAGGTTAAGAGGTGGAATCTGGGGAGTGGGGTGAGCTCCTGCTGTTAGCCCCTGCTTCTGCCAACCTAGCAGATCGAAAACATACAAATGTGAGTAGATCAATAGGTATCGCTTCTGTGGGAAGGTAACTGCACTCCATGCAGTCATGCCAGCCACATGACCTTGGAGGTGTCTATGAACAACTCCAGCTCTTCAGCTTAGAAATGGAGATGAGCACCAACCCCCAGAGTCGGACACGGCTCAGGGGAAACTTTTACCTATGTTAATATATAAAGTTCAGCGCATAAAGAAAATTTAATTTTAAAATTAAATTTTCACCGGATGTCCCCCATCCACCCTCCATCTTGTTCCGAGACAGAGGACACCTGTGAGGATGGTGGGGGAAGAAATCTCGGGACTCATAGGTCTGTGTGGGGACCAGCTCTAAGGTCCTGGGGTTTTGTTTGTGTGTTTGTTTTTTTGTCCTATGTATTAAACTCAAGTTTTGGCACTGTCTGGAAGAGCCCAGAGTTTAAGAAGCTGGGGCATGAGGTACAGCATGTGTCATACTTGACAAAGGTCGTTGGTTCAGTTCATGGCTTTTGCAAATGCTGGAAAAGTCTTCCGGAAAGTTGCTTCCAACGAGTAAGCAGGACCAGGCAGAGACTGAAAATGCTATCTTTTTGTTGGATTGTGACAGTGGCGTGCCATCCACCTGCCAAGCATGAATAGTGTCTATACTGACTGGAAGAATTTTGGGAAATGTAGTCGCCAAGAATGTATGTCCAAGAGTTGGTGCTGGGCTAGGTGAGCCTTTTTCCCCTGCGGATTTGTCAGACTACAACGTTTATCATCTCCCGTCAGGTGGATAGCACATCTGAAGAGCACTTGGCTGGGAAAGGTTTGGGTGAATTGAAATGATCCTTGTGTGGTATAAGTATGTAATAACATTACCCCTGTTCCTACAGCTTGCAGGTCTGGCCCTTTACGCTGAGTCTGTCTGGGTAACAGCCGATCCATACAAAGTGTACCCCATCATGGGAGTGTCAGGCAAGGATGACGTCTATGCAGGTGCCTGGATCTCCATTTTCACTGGGTTTTGTTTCTTCTGCGTCTGTGTCTTTGGCATCATCAGCCTCGTGAATGGCAACCGCCTCATGGTGTTGTTGGTGAGTAAAGCAAGGAGGAAGAACGGACTGTTTTGAACACTGTCTTCTTCATCTGGAGCCTTTCATCAGTGCCTCCCTCTCTGCTTCCTTCTCTTTTAGGGGGTTGGAAGGGGTACATTGAATAAGAGAGGTACATTGGGTATCTTTCCCCATCTGTGAGCTCCTCTGGACAGAACAAAATATGTTGGGAAATTGTTGGTGGTTGTGGTATCTGTGACTCTGGTTCACAGTAGGGCTGAATTACCTATGGTTAAATTGATGCCATAGCTCTAAATCCCTCATCTGCTAGTGGTGCCAGTACTAAAAGAAAAAAAATACTAGCTACCAGTATTAAAATACTCTAAAATCATAACAGTAAATAAAGGACAACATTCAAAAACAGTTGAACTCCTGACAAGAAACAATCAAGGACAGCTAATCACCTCTCAATAAAGGATTCCCAGGCAGTAAGAAGCCAGAGCTTGAAAACTACTAGGCCATTAAATGCTAATCAAGGTGGCCAATTGCTACATTCAGACCTACCTCCAACAGACAAGAGTTCTTTCTCCCACCCTGGACACTCCACAGATCTATAAACCTCATTTTCCTAGTTTCCAACAGACCTCACAACCTCTGAGGATGCCTGCCATAGATGCAGGCGAAACATCAGGAGATAATGCTTCTGGAACATGGCCATACAGCCCGAAAAACTTACAGCAACCCCCCAAAAAATACAGCTGGTTCCTCTTTTTCCTTGGTTATGTCCTCTTGGATCTCCCAGCGTTGCTGATGTCACCAATACTTTGTGCGTCACTTGGGTGGCTGAATAAAATTGTATGAGATTAAGCTGCGCACCTCATAAAACTTGCAGAGCTGAAAATGGATTCTGACAGAAAGATTGGGAGGCTGCTGTTATCTTTCAGTTATTTTTACACTCAGTTTTTATTAGATTTGCCAAAAAATGCAACTAAATTTCAACCAATAAAAAAATACAGTTACCAAAATAAAACAAGTAAAATGGTACAAATATAATCCACAGCTTTGGTTTTGCTTTCACTTTCTTTGTTGCATGTTTTCAATCTACTGTGTGTTTTCATTGCATTTGTTATTTAACATGCTTTTGGAGCATGTAGAACTAACATTTATTTTCCTTCCCCTGCAGTATCTGGTGCTCATCCTGATTGTCTACCTGTTTGAGTGCGCTTCTTGCATCACCTCCTACACGCATCGTGATTTTGTAAGTACAGAGCTGGGAAGTCTTCCTGCTTAAAACTTCCACCTGCAAGACTGTTCTGGCCTGTTCAAAGGGTATTTTAGCCTCACCAAGCCTTTCTCCATGGAGGCTAAACATGTAACACCAGATATTGAGACTGTAGGGCCTTCCAGATCCTATTGGAATGCATTCCCATCAAGTCAGCAGAGAAAGCTATTGTAGTCCAGCAATGTCTTCTACTTGGCATGACACTGTTATTGCAGAATACAGAGTCAAAACAGTTTCTCCCATATGATGACTTCTCATATTTTCTTTTTGTAGTAGTTGTCAACTTGTAAGTCCAGGGATAAGGAATATCCATCTCTCACAGTAATGCTGAACTAAACAAAAACTCCTAGACAGCAAGGACAGTCAAAGTTACAGTCTAACAGCACCTAGAGAACTACATGCTTCCCATACTTTTGGATACTGTGATAGCATGTGAGCTTAGTATTCACTTTGCCTGGAATTTGAAAGGTTTTTGAAAACAATATTTATTTTATCCACTTGCCTAAATGCCAAAGATGGCTAGTTACCCCTAGTGGCAACAACAGCTGAACAATTGCTGGCTTCATTTCACATGGACAGGCCTGTAGCCAGGATTTTTTGATTCCCGGGGGGGGGGGGGGGGGCTAAGTTTGATTCGGGGGGGGGGGGCTGAGTCTGAGTGATAGAGGGTCTACCCTAGCAAACCTTTTGTATCGTTACCCCAATACCCCCATGCATATGGGATATATTGAGCATGGTGATCAGATCATGATATGAATAAACATAACAGTTTAAATAATGCACCAGTAATGAGAATTTCGGGGGGGGGGGGCTGAAGCCCCCAAGGCCCCCCCCCCCCCCGCCCTGCTACATGCCTGCACATGGAGTTCAGTTTTGCTCATTCTATTGGAAATCTCTATTTTGGACTAAGACGTCCGCAATCATTTGTTGGGCAAGAGGGCTTATTAACAAAAGATCTTCCTCATAAATGTATACCAAAGTAGCTTATTAGCAGCAGCGTGACCCAGCACCAGTTGCCAAAAGTGATAAAATCACTTTCGCAATCGCGTCTGGCGGGAATGAGAGACAGGGCCTTTTCTGTGGTGGCCCCTCGGCTATGGAACTCTCTCCCGATTGAGATCAGATCTGCCCCCTCCCTCCTGTCCTTCAGGAGGCTGGTGAAATCCTGGCTATGGAAGGAAGCATTCCCAGAGTAATGATTGAAACCGGCATTCCCAGAGTAATGATTGAAACCAGAGTAATGATTGAAACCGGTCGATTGAAAGTTATCGACTACACATACGGACTGAGTTGGACATGATTTTATCTTGGCGATTTGGCTTATTTGTAATTTTAATCTATATGTATTTTAACTCATTATATGATTTTTTAGATTGTACTATTAGCACTGCATCCTTACTGTAAGCCGGTCTGAGTCCCTCTACAGAGGTTGAGAAGATCGGGATATAAAAGTTTTAAATAAATAAATAATAAACAAAAAAGAACAAAAAACACACCGACCAATGTTATCTCTTCCTTAGGAGGCTTTTCTTAATAGCAAAATAATATGGTTGCACTGTTTACAAAAACAAGGTTTCCATAACACAAGTTCTTTATACTTCCTTCTTTGCTTCCACGCTGGGCTTCTTTCTCATGCAGATAAAAAGCTTCGCTCTCACAGAGCCTTTTCTCACAATAAACTTACACAGGAGCCTTTTACACACAGCAGCCTTCACACTGGAGCTTCACATAGTTGCTTTAACCTAGGGCTTCTCTCACCAAAGCTTCTCACACCAGGCCATCCTCACACTGAGGCCTACTAACACTGAGGCCTTTCTCCCACTGAGGCTTTCTCACACTGATGGCTCTCTCAGACTGACACCTCTCTCCCACTGAGGTGAACTAACACTGAGGCCTTCTCATACTGAGGCCTACAAACACACTGAGGCCCTTCTCCCACAGAGAGCTCTCACAGACTGAGAGCTACTAAGCTACAGACACACCTGCTTATATTGAACTGCAGCTTTTGCTGAGTTATTGTATCCATTTAATGCTTTCAGTGCTTGACTCACATTTTTATAATTAAAAATACCTAGTTAATATTTGAAGACCAACAGGTCGCAGGTTCGAATCCGGGGAGAGGCGGATGAGCTCCCTCTATCAGCTCCAGCTCCTCATGCGGGGACATGAGAGAAGCCTCCCACAAGGATGATAAAAACATCAAATCATCCGGGCGTCCCCTGGGCAACGTCCTTGCAGACGGCCAATTCTCTCACACCAGAAGCAACTTGCAGTTTCTCAAGTTGCTTCTGACACGACAAAAATATTAATATTTCTGACATCCTTTACCATTACCCAGGTTGGATTGGGCTTGATAAGAACTCTACACCAAAGATATCTAGATACCCAACAGTTCCAGCATAACCTAGAAATACTTTAGTTTTTCATCTCCCTACCCTTCCACTCAGTGCTGTGGTACTTTCAAGGAAAGTGGGTATCATTCTTAACTCGAATTTTTAGTAAACTGAAACTCTGCAAGTAATGCAGACACAAATGATTGCATGTATTTTCATAACTCGAGCCTCTGGATGAGGAATGTCTAGTAAAAATGTGTGTGTTGAGGAATGTCACTGACCAACATTTTCCCCCTTTCCCCTCCCAGGTAGTTTCAAATTCCAGGTTGATAACCAAACAGATGTTGTCCTACTACTCTGCTGATTCATACCAAGGACGGGAACTCACCCGTATGTGGAATCGCTTCATGATGGAGGTAAATCATCCTGGCCAACATACTGTGGCTCATTTGGGCAGCTTCTGATTTCATGATAAAGGAAATTTCCAGGCAGCTTAGAAAACAACAAGTGAGCAGAGCCATGATCGATGTGCATAAAACTATGTGTGGTGTGAGAAAGTGGACAGGGTAGTTTCCTCCTCCTCAGATAGTAGATGATCTACTGAAGATGAGAAGCAGGGAGATTCAGGACAAACAAAAGGAAGTATTGGGTTATTGTGAGTTTTCCGGGCTGTATGGCCATGTTCCAGAAGCATTCTCTCCTGACATTTCACCCAAATCTATGAGTGAAAGGAAGTATTTATTTTGTTTCTGTTGGCCGTGGCCAGTAATGAAATGATACGTTGCAAGACAGCATATGTACTTACTTCGTAACTGTACATAGTGTAGCATAAGACTATTTAGATATGTTCGTATTATCTTCTTGGTACTGGCAGTGGTGGCTCTCTAGGGTCCAGGACAAGAGTCTCCTACATTTTTTTTCATGTCAGGAGCAGCTTGAGAAACTGCAAGTCATTTCTGGAGTGAGAGAATTGGCCGTCTGCAAGGACATTGCACAGTGGTGTTTTACCATCCTGTGGGAGGCTTCTCTCATGTACCTGCATGAGAAGCTGAAGCTGACAAACAGGATCTCACCCCACTCCCCAGATTTGAACTGCCGACCTTTCGGCCAGCAGTCCTGCCAGCACAAGGGTTTAACCCAGTGGTTCTCAACCTGTGGGTCCCCAGGTGTTGTGGCCTATAACTCCCAGCCTGTTTACCAACTGTTAGGGTTTCTGAGAGTTGAAGGCCAAAACATCTGGAGACCCACAGGTTGAGAACCACTGGTTTAACGCATTGCGCCACCAGGGACTCCTTGTCTCCTACATCAGGGATGTGGTGACATGTGGTCCTCCATATGTTTATTGGGCCGCAGTGCTTATGATCACTGACCATACTCCCTAGGGATGACGGCAGTTAAAATCCAATACCATCTACTACAAGGTTGCATGTACCAAATTCACAATATTTAGTTTGCTACTGAGCAGTGGTTTCTTCCTGCATTGTTCCCACAACCCCAAACACTATAGCAGAAAGGACCTACTTAAAGGCTGCCCCTCATTGCTGGTACTCCCTGCCTAGGGAAGCCAGAACGGACTCCTCCCTTCTGTCCTTCCGACAGCAGGCTAAAACTTTTCTTTTCGGGCAAACTTTTAAAGAAGGAAATTTTACAGACTGAGCCAGGAGAAGCTGTTTTTTATGTGGTTTCATAGATTTTTAATGCTTTTATTCATTGTAACTATTCATTTTTAATAGTCCTATATTTAATTCAGGCCCTCTGGTGGCGCAGCAGGTTAAACCAATGAGTTGCTGAACTTGCTGACTCAGGGAGCAGGATGAGCTCCCGCTGTTAGCCCTAGCAACTTCTAACCTAGCAGTTCAAAAACCTACAAATGTGAGTAGATCAATAGGTACAGCTCCAGCAGGAAAGTAATGGCGCTCCATGCAGTCATGCCGACCATATGACCTTGGAGGTGTCTATGGATAAATGGAAATGAACACCAACCCCCTAGAGTCAGACACAACTAGACAACGTCAAAGAGAAACCTCTACTTTTTATATTTAATTATATTTTAATGTTTATATACTTTAGGTTTTAACGTACTCATTATTATGATTTTCGGTGTTAGCTGCTTTGATTCTACTTTGTGAGGGAAAAAGCAGGATATAGATAATCCCGCAACAATATAGTAATATATAATAGTAATAGTAATATTGCGCTGTGCTAATAATATAATATAATATAATATAATATAATATAATATAATATAATAAATTGTATATACATATAATATTGATAATAATCTTATAATAATAATAATATAAGATAATAATGATAATAATTAATATAAGATTGATAATAATCTTATAATATAATAATAATAATAATAATAATAATAATAATAATAATAATAATCTTTCTTTCTACCCCACCACCATCTCCCCAATGGGGATTCGGAGCGGCTTACATGTAATACAATATAATACTACTAATAATAAGATATAATAATTGTATATTATATATTACATGTAATATTACTAAGAATGCTGCAGTATAGTGGTATACTACAATATAGTTATATATAATACAAAAATTGTGCTATGCTAATAATTATAATGTATTGTTTGTACATATAATATTGATCATAATATTGTAATACAATATAATACCAATAATAATACAATATAATAATATAATAATTATATATTTTATATTTCATCTTTCTTTGAAAACCCTATCCTAGTTTACCCTACCTTGTTCATGCCCAGCATTTTAAATTTTAATTATTACATTTGGCTTATTGTGTGTTTTTTGTTTTTGAGTTTTATTTTAACTGTCTTGTATTGATTATTTGTTATCGCTTTTGTTTATTGATGTGTTGTTCGGGCTTCGCCTCATGTAAGCCGCACCGAGTCCCTTGGGGAGATGGTAGCGGGGTACAAATAAAGTTATTATTATTATTATTATTATTATTATTATTATTACATGTAGTATTACTAATAATATTGCAGTATAGTGGTATAGTAATATAGTAATATATAATACTGTTATTGTACTATGCTAATAAAATAATGTATAACTTGTAAGCTACTCTGAGTCCCCATTGGGGTGAGAAAGGTGGGATATAAATGTCGTAAATAATTAATAAATAAATATAGATATATAATAATAATAACAACAACAACAACATGAAACAAGGTGCAGTGCTCTAGCAATTGCTCTTGGAGGTAGACATTGTGAGTTTATATTCCCTCTTCTGTTGTTCTCACCCCCTTAGCAACAGTGCTGTGGCACCAATGACCCCATGGATTGGGTGAACTACACCTCGGTCTTTCGAAGCAGGTACCCTGAAATAGTGGCTCCCTGGCCATTCTTCTGCTGCAAACGGGATCGGAACTTCATTATCATCAATGAGGAAGGATGCCGACTGGGGCATGTGGATTACATCAACACACAGGTACTTTGATCGTCTCCATCTTTCCTGGGGTTTGTCTGTCATTGATGAACTTCTTCGCAAGGTTTGAACTGCCTTCTGGGAACATAAGGTTTCTTGGGTTCCATACAGAGGCAAGAGCATCACCATTATTTTCTCTTTCCCAAAAGTTGACTGGCTCTCCCTTCCTTCCTTAGGGCTGCTTTGAGCACATTAAGCATGCCGTACAGAGCTATGCCTGGGGTGTCTCCTGGTTCGGATTTGCCATTCTTATGCTCACGGTGAGTTCTTGTTGTTGTTCATTCATTCAGTCGTTTCCGACTCTTCGTGACTTCATGGACCAGCCCATGCCAGAGCTCCCTGTTGGCCATCACCACCCCCAGATCCTTCAAGGTCAAGCCAGTCACTTCAAGAATGCCATCCATCCATCTTGCCCTTGGTCGGCCCCTCTTCCTTTTTCCTTCCATTTTCCCAAGCATCATTGTCTTCTAGCAGGACATATTTGGGGAGGAACAAGTAGGCAAGTTGTTATTTTACCCTCTTGCCTAGATGTTGTTAGGCTGTGATTGTCCATATTTTAAAAAGCGGGAATTAGCAGAAGGCCACGTCTGTGTATAAAGGCTGTTTGTGGCCTAAGAGTATTATTATTATTATTATTATTATTAGTAGTAGTAGTAGTAGTAGTAGTAGTAGTATTATTATTATTATTATTATCTTTATTTGTACCCCGCTAGCATCTCCCAAAGGACTCAATGCGGCTTACAAAGGCCAAGACCTCAAAACACAACATAACAATACACAACCTAAAGCAAATTAAAAACAGTTAAAGCAATATTAAACAACAAGCAATAAAACAATACACCAGGACACAATAAAACTGGGCCGGGCCAGAGTAATGGGTACAGATTAAAAATGTTGATGTGACAGGTGATATATAGGGATTAAAGGGTAAGTGCAGTGTGCCAACAATCTTAATTTCTAATAAAGTGCTTCTGGGACTTGTTGTTGGAGTTTTCCTATTCTGGAAAGAGTAGTCTGGGAGTATCAAACAATGACCAAGCACACATTCCCAAAGGCTTTTGGCAGCCTGGATTCTCCATTTCCATACCAGTTTTTTTTTTTTTTTCCGTGTCAGGAGCGACTTGAGAAACTGCAAGTCGCTTCTGCCGTGAGAGAATTGGCTGTCTGCAAAGACTTTACCCAGGGGACACCCAACAGCACTACATGTGAAAAAGATCTTGGAGTCCCCATGAACAACAAGTTAAACATGAGGCAACAATGTCATGTGGTGGCAACAAAAGCCAATGGGATTTTGACTTGCATAAATAAAGAGTATAGTGTCTAGATCCAGGGAAGTCATGCTACCCCTCTATTCTGCCTTGGTCAGACCACACCTGGAATACTGTGTCCAATTCTGGGCACCACTATTGAAGGGAGATGTTGAGAAGCTGGGATGTGTCCAGAGGAGGGTGACGAAAATGATTAACGGTCTGGGGAACAAGCCGTATGAGGAGCAGCTTAAAGAGCTGGGTGTGTTTAGCCTTCAGAAGAGAAGGCTGAGAGGAGACATGATGGCCATATATAAATATGTGAGGGGAAGTCATAGGGAGGAGGGAGTAAGTTTGTTTTTTGCTGCCCTGTGGAACAATGGCTTCAAACTACAGGAGAGGAGATTCCACCTGAATATTAGGAAAATCTTCCTGACTGTGATTGCTGTTCAGCAGTGGAACTCTCTGCCCCATAATGTAGTGGAGACGGCTTTGGATGGCTATCTGTCAAGGGTGCTTGAATGAAATTTTTCTGCTTTTTGGCAGGGGGGTTGGACTGAATGGCCTATGAGGTCTCTTCCAACTCAATGATGGTTTGATTCTATGTTTTACCATCCTGTGGGAGACTTTTCTGATGTCCCCACATGAGAAGCTGGAGCTGACAGATAGGAGCTCACCCCGCTCCCCGGATTTGAACCTCTGACCAAGACATGGACAAACTTCAGCCCTTGAGGTGTTTTGAACTCCAACTCCCACAATTAATTCCTAATTGAATTTGTCATTTGGGAGTTGTAGTTGCTGGGATTTATAGTTCACCTAAAATCAAAGAGCATTCTGAATCCCACCAATGATACAATTGGGCCAAAAGTCCTATACAGAACTCCCATGACGAACAGAAAATACTGTGTTTTCTGATGGTCTTTAGTGACCTCTTTCACACCACCTCGTGACCCCCCAGGGGTCCCAACCCCCAGGTAGTGTAACATCATATAAGCTGGGATGATGTGTGGGATTCTAGGCCCGTCAGAAGTTGGAAGTCAATACAACTCTAACAAAATCATTAGGGATTGTAATGGAACCTAATGCTGATGTCTTCCACAGGTCCCTGTTGTTCTTCTGGCTATATACCATTACACCACAATGTGAGGAGCCCAGCTGGTGAAGCTGACTTTGCCGCATGATGTCCTATTACCCTCTAGGGCAGCCGAGGCACCCTGAATCACTCTTATGAGGAGACCTCTTATGGTTTCTTTTTGTACACATGCTGTACCACAATCAGCTTTCCTTGACTGGCCTAACCACTGGGCTGGATTTCCTGTGGCTGCTTCTGCTTGACACCTTTAGCTTTATCATGTTGTCACACATGCCTCCTATGGAATATATGTTCCCAGCTACATGTGTAATTTTTTTTGTAAAAAAAAAAAGTAAAATAAATATTACTTAAAATCCATAAGCAGCACCTGTGTTTTTTCTGTGAAATGGTGAACTTCAAAAGATAGTGTGGTGTGGAGGTTTGAATGTGGGACTCGGACTCCAGGAGGCCGGAGTTCAAATCCCTGCTAAGCCATGAGACCTACTGGGTGACTTTGCACAAATCACTACCTTTTACTCTCCAGGGAAGTCAGTAGCAAACCTCTTCTGAATAAATCTTGCCAAGAAAGACTCACAAGAGAGTCACCTAAGCGGGAGTCTTATTTATCACTAGCTTGGGGACCTGGCGGTGCCTGGGTTGTTTGAGAAAAGTATTGTTTATCTGTGCTCCAAGTTTAGTCCACATCCAATGTCAGCTGGGTTCATTGGGTGCGGGTGAACTACAACTCCCATATGCAAGTCCCATCGTCCGTGGTCCATCCTCCTCCAAAATGCACCAGGATGTAGAGTGTGTAATGGGGCTCTGTGTGCCAAGTGTAGTCCTGATCTGTTGCAGTGGTCTCAGGAAGTGAGTGAAGCTACTGCATGTCCCATCATCCATTGTCCATCCTCCCCCAAACTGCACCAGGACATAAAGTGGGTCATGGGGGGGGGGGGAGGTCTGTGTGCCAAGTTTGGTCCAGGTCTGTGATTTTGGGGGTCGCAGTGTTCTGTGGAAAGCGAATTGGGTGAGGGTACTGCAAAACCCATCATCCATGAGCCATCCTCCCCTAAACCGCACCAGGATGTAAAGTGGGTCATGGGCTCTGTGTGTCAAGTTTGATCTGTCATTGGTGTGGGTCACAGTGGTCTCAGGAAGTGAGTGAAGGTACTGCAAGTCCCATCATCTGTGGTCCATTCTCCCACATAGTGCACCAGGATGTAAAGTGGGTCATGGGGGCGGGGGGGGGGGGTCTGTGTGTTGTAAATAAGCAATTGTCCTATTTAAATAAGCTTCAACATAGATACAAGTTTAAGTAACTTCAATAGTGAAATGCACAAAATATATACAGTTAACAACATAATTTCATAGGACATATACATCAATGAATATATCAAACTTAAAGGCAGTTCACATTGTGTTTAGTACATTTGAGAATATGTCCATGACCTTACAACAAAGGTTCACGTTGTATTCCACAAACTTGAGAGTATCAAAACTGGAAACAGTTCGTGTTGCTTTCAGCCAACTCGGGAGTCCACAACAAGGTTTCCCGGGGACAACAAGCATGTGGACAATTTCAACAGAAAGGAAGAAACCATGAAAATGAACAAAATCTGTCTACCAGTATTTAAAAACTCAAAAATTACAACAGCAAAACAACAGAGAGTAAACAATCAGGCACATCAAATCACTCTCAATGAAAGATTCCCCCCAGGCACTTCCAAGCCATTAAATGCTAATCAAGGTGGTCAGTTGAAACATTCAAACCTAGCTCCAGCAGACAAAAGTCCTTTGTCCCACCCTGGTCATTCCACAGATATATAAACCCATTTTCCTACTTCCAACAGACCTCACTACCTCTGAGGATGCTTGCCATAGATGCAGGTGAAACGTCAGAAGAAAATGCCTCTAGAACATGGCCATATAGCCCAGAAAAACCTAAAACAACCCAGTGATTCCAGCCATGAAAGCCTTCGACAATACATTTTAAAGACTATTAAAAAAGACTATTTTATTCCCCTGTTCTCTGCCTGTATTCAAAGAGACTGATGTATATTGCCCTGTTTGAACCTTGGAGGGCTGTATCTGGTCCCCGGGCCTTGGTTTGACCCTTGAAATAGAGGGTGGGCCAAAGATGTCAAAACCTTGGTCCTACCATTGCTGGCCGCTCCTTCCCGGTGGATGTCAGGTGGTGCGATACCAGCTGGAGTTGACTTGAAGACACACAACAGCAAGTTAGTATTGTGCTGAAACTAAACTGAGAGATTATGGCTAAGAGGAGAGGAGATCTCAGGCCTGTAGGAAAAGACCTGCTAGCTAGTGTTAAGTTGTGGAAAGGTAAAGTGTAAGACACAGCCTTAGATTCACAAACAGCTGTGAAATGGTCACTATCTTTCAGTTTAATTCATCTCACAGGACAGATATGAGTGGATAAAAATGTCAGAGGACCACAGTCTATGCACTGAGCTCCTTGGGAGATAGGTAGGAAAGAAAGATAGTGATCAAATAAAGAGCAGGCTGGTCTAAACCTACAGGAAAATGTATATATTTACTTTCCATTGTGAAAGAACTGGAGGAGCTCTATGCGGGCTGCTTGCATCAACAGCACTGGGAAGGTTCTCCCTTATTGACTCACCTCATTCCCCTCCTGACTGATGCAGAACCCAGGCATCCTGATTGCCCTAATGATAATACTCTTAGTAGTTAGTCCAACAGGTTTTACCAGTTGTGGAGCATTGCTGGCCTTTCATACTGTACCAAAAGTTCTTAGTTTGATACATGGAATTTTAACTGCCCCAAAGACTTCCCTAGGGTGAAACAAGAACCTAGCATCATTGTTTGTTTTTGTATTGCTAAGCCTGAATAGATAGGGATGAAGTTCAAACAGGTCCTGTCCAAGATCTACCTTCTTCCAGCTCAAAACAGAACATCAGTTAGCGAAAAAGGAAGCAAAGATACATCAGATCAGCGATTCTCAAAGTATCCTCCATGGAGCCCTTGGGGCTCCGCAAAGCATATCGAGGGACTCCACACTTCCTCCCCCTATTCCTCCAAACTTTCCCTCCTCTTTCCTGCTCCTCCCCCTCCTTCTTCCTCCCTTGCCAAAAGTCTTTCTTCACCTCCCTTGTCCCAAACGCCTTGTTCCTCGCTTTCCTCATCCCCCAAAGCCTTTTTACTTGCTTCCCTTGCTTCCCAAAACCATTTTCCCCACCTCCTTTGACACCAAAGGCCTTTTTTCCTCACCTTCCTCGCTGCCCAGATCCTTTCCTCTTTGCCTTCCTTGATTCCAAAACCCTATTTCCCTCCCATCACTCGGGGGGTGCTTTGACTGTGTTTTTCCTGCATGGCAAGAAATGGTTGGACTGGATGGCCGCTGGAGTTTCTATTATTATTATTATTATTATTATTATTATTATTATTATTATTATTACAAAGGCTGGGTGTCCATCCATTGGGGGTGCTTGACTGTGTTTTTCCTTCATGGCAAGAGGTGGTTGGACCAGATGGCCCCTTGGGTTTCTATTATTGTTGTTGTTATTGTTGTTGTTATTATAATTATATTATTATTATTACAAAGGCTGGGTGTCCATCCATTGGGGGTGCTTGACTGTGTTTTTCCTGCATGGCAAGAGTTGGTTGGACCAGATGGCCCCCAGGGTTTCTATTGTTGTTGTTGTTGTTGTTATTTGAAACATAACAAGATTAGTACACAGGAAACGAGATCACTATGCTGGCTGTAGTATTGGATCACACGTTGGACACTTCCCAAGTGTCTAGGACTGTGTGATGTATCGGCGAATAACGCATGCAGATCCCAGTAAGGCAGCCTTTTGCAGCTGACAGATGGTAATTTTGTCAGCGCCTATTTTAAGTGCAGGCCAAGGTCTTGAGGAACTGCACCCAGTGTGCCGATCACCACTGGGAACACCTTTACTAGCTTGTGCCAGTCTTTGCAGTTTGATCTTTAAATTCTCATATCGTGTCAGCTTTTCCAGTTGTTTCTCTTCAATCCTGCTGTCACCTGGGATTGTTGTTGTTGTTGTTACAAAGGCTGGATTGCCATCCATTTGGGGTGCTTTGATTGTGCTTTTCCTGCATGGCAGATAGATAGATAGATAGATAGATAGATAGATAGATAGATAGATAGATAGATAGATAGATAGATAGATAGATAGATAGATAGATAGATTATAGAATATATATAAGGTATCAACATTTCTTGGGGTTCCATGAGAAACTTTTGCTTCAGAACAGGCTTCACAGCTGGAAAAGTTTGAGAACCATTTCATTACACAGTTGGTTTTGTGGTCATTCGACATCTTCCCATTCTTCACTTCTTCCCCAAAATTCTTCTGAGGAAAAGGGCTGACTCCTGAGCCTTCAATGTTTTCCCTACCCTTTTCCCAGGCTTTGATGCTTCTGGTTGGGATATACCATTTCTTGGTTACCTGAGACTAGTGGAAAAGGCAAGCTTGCACTCCTTGGTTTCCTCTTCCTCCTGCTGACAGCTATTTTTGCACTTCTAACTCAATTTGAAGCAACTGAAGCAAGCCAAAGACAAAAGAGGAAAACAGGAGGAAAAGAGAGAAATTAAGAGAACTTAAAATCAGATGAAAAAGTGGAACAAAGAAGATTGGGACTGTCCTTGCCAAATTGGGATAGTGAAAGATTATGTATCCTCATGCACATGATCTATGTATCCTCCACTAGTGTTCATGCATACTCATGGAAAGGAGAGGACACACGTAGCATAGTATCTTATCAAGCTAAACTGTCCTCTGACAAATCTGCTGGGCTGTCAGGAGTGCGATTTACATGGATCTAAAAAGGCTGCTAGAGGGCAGAATGCAATGGCAGAAATGGCTCAGTCACTGGCACTCAAGGCTTTACGACAGACAGGCTGCCTATATATTTTATAGGTCTCATTATGCTAAAAAGATGGCTGAAATAAATGAGGAAAGAGATAAGACAGATAACAACTCACGGTTACTTTTAAAAAATGACTGCACTGGTAAAAAGGATACGATACTATAAAAAGCACCACTTATATATAACTAGCCAACAGACTTTGCACGGATTTAAGCAGCAGGAAGAGCCACCCCCGCTGACCTAGAAAACTAACCAAAGAGGGTTAGACTCTTGTTACTTCTGTAAAAAGAACAGGTGTTCGCCAGAACTTAAAGTGGCATATGCTGAATGTAAAAACTACCCATTCCTATGGCAACACGAATGGCAAATAAGGGAAATGAGAGAAAGCCATGGTGTGATTTTCTCCCACTCCTCATGCCCATGTCCTCATGGCATTGTTGGCTCTGTGGCACTCCTTTCGTTCATAGGTCTGGTGCTTTACT